GTTTCACCACAAGGTGTAAACCATTGGTGAGCCTCAAAAACAGGAAGGCCAGATTAGAGTTTGCCAAGAAACATCTAAAAGAGCCTGTACAGTTCTGGAACAACATCTTATGGACAGATGAGACAAAGATCAACTTGTACCAGAATGATGGAAAGAGAAAAGTATGGAGAAGGGAAGGAACTGCTCAGGATCCAAAGCATACCACCTCATCAGTGAAGCATGGTGGTGGTAGTGTAATGGCATGGGCATGTATGGCTGCCAGTGGAACTGGATCTCTTATATTTATTGATGATGTGACTGCTGACAAAAGCAGCAGAATGAATTCTGAGGTGTTTCGGGCAATATTATCTGCTCATATTCAGCCAAATGCTTCAAAACTCATTGGACGGCGCTTCACAATGCAGATGGACAATGACCCGAAGCATACTGCGAAAGCAACCAAAGAGTTTTTAAAGGCAAAGAAGTGGAATGTTCTGCAATGGCCAAGTCAATCACCTGACCTGAATCCGATTGAACATGCATTTCACTTGCTGAAGACAAAACTGAAAGGAAAATGCCCAAAGAAAAAGCAGGAACTGAAGACAGCTGCAGCAGAGGCCTGGCATCACCAGAGACAAAACCCAGCGTCTGGTGATGTCCATGGGTTCGAGACTTCAGGCTATCATTGACTGCAAAGGATTTGCAACAAAGTATGAAAAAGTGACAATTTGATTTATGATTATGTTAGTTTGTCCAATTACTTTTGGTCCCTTAAAAAAAGTGGAAGGCACATATAAAATGTGTTGTAATTCCTACACCCTTCACCTGATTTGGATGTAAATACCCTCAAATTAAAGCTCAGAGTCTGCACTTAAAGCACATCTTGATTGTTTCATTTCAAATCCATTGTGGTGTTGTACAGAGCTGGAATGCTGATAATTGTGTCAAACACCACCTATATAAGTGAATACAACAGCTGCTGTCAGAGCAGACATTGACATGCCAGATTACAGGAATGTCTGTAGTAATATCATTATTTTTGAATATTATAGTCATCCATATGAAGTTGTAAAGTTTGAATGGGGCTCAGAGTGACGTTCAGTGTGACAGCGGCATTCAAGTCATATAGTATACAAGCTAACTGCGCAAGCAGCTGTGTAAGCATTGAAAGTGACTTTGCTGTGTTCTTCCAGATTTTAATGTGTCAGAGGCGCAGGACCAGTACCTTGTGTTGTCTTTGTTGAAAACTTTTTAAAAAGGTTTTAACACATTCAGGTCAAACCTAATTCTTCTTTGGTTGTTCCATGTTGTGTGTGCAGTTCTGTTCTGCTTGTTCAGCAGGGTGTGTCTGCTGCCAACCTTACTGAACAGTCCCAGAGGCAGTGGATTGCCACTCCCACTTCCTGGATTTACACCTTGCTTGCTTTCTCACCTGTTCCAGTTCTCACACTGCCCCCTCTGACATTCTGCAAGAGACAGAGACATGCCTCTACACACAGCTCGTCCTATTTGATAAAGCACAGACTGGTACCAGCTCACATGCACATTCGGCCATATAACAGCATGGTTGACTAACTGGTGTTATGTGACCTGCCTTTCACAGAGCCCAAGAAGAGACAGTGCAAGGCTCTGTTTGAGTATCAGCCACAGAACGAAGATGAGTTGGAGCTGAAAGTCGGAGACATCATAGACATCACTGAAGAGGTACCTTTAATGCATGCATTGACTTTACAGATTGTAAATGTCTAATATGTCAAACCAATTCACATAAAGTTTACCATCTGATACTTTTGGAAAGGTTGGACAAGTGGGAATCATCTCCTGGGATATCCTCATTGGCCTTGGCCTATTTTCTCGGTGACCTTTGAATGTTCAGGATAAAGAAGACAGCAGACTCAGTTTTTTTTCTAACTTTAGCTTATATTGGAGTTATGATATGTAGCGTCTGAAATAAGGTATGGTGAATGTGCTAGGAAAGGTAGTATTTGCATGGTCACAACCTGGAGCTCGCATAAACGAAGCCTGGGTTTGTTGAAGGTGGCAGTGCTGTTTGGGCTGAGAAAGCCATGTGTAATGTAAGGTAAAGGAGGTTGTTGGGTTGGTGCAGAGAGCAGTTGTGAGTTGGCATTAGGGGAGTGTCTCTGGGCCGCCAGAGATCACTGTCTAACCTCCTGGAGGTGTTGTGGGACCAACTAGACGAAGAACTGGTGAAAGGAGGTTCCTACCTGATGACCTCAAAGACGTGTTAGTTGTCACTGCTCATTGGTCTTTATAGTTAAGCCTTGCCATAATAGATTATCATAGGGCTTAGGAGGTTATTCACTGAGTGCTGATCCTTTATCTAGAGCACAAATTTCTTGTGTTTATTTGAACTTGGTGTGTTGTTTGAGATACGGTGGTGTAGGTGTGGTATTACAACCACTAAATGTTTTTAACCACTGAATATACACCGTTAACTGGTTGTTTGTGGTGCAGGCTGTAGGAGATGAACTGTGGGTTTATATTGACTGCAGCAATAAGTACTAATAATAAAAATAAGGTAAAGGGAAATGTGTGTGGTGGCCTTTGAACAATAAACACCTCTAATGTGTGTATTACAGTGTAAAATTTGGTCTGAGACATGTTAAATAATCCCAGGGTGGTTGCAGGTCCTTAAAGAGTCTGAAGATGTCACACTATTACACATTTACTAATGGTAGGCCTTAAAAATTATTAAATTGTCTTAAAGTCAGATTGGATGGGTTTTAAAAGTTTTCATACCTCCACACAGACGATAGCCATGGCCGGAGGCACCAGATTGTTTTGCATTGAAAATGACAGGGAAAAAAATTCACATTAGCACTTCAGGTGGTTTTTATCTTATTATTTGTTCTCTGTGCAGGTTGAAGAGGGCTGGTGGAGCGGCAACTTGAACGGCAAGTCAGGACTGTTTCCCTCCAACTTTGTCAAAGAGCTGGATGCCCTGGGAGAGGAGGGAGACTCAAACGACACAGCATTAGACGATGCCGGTAAGACGCGCACAGCGAACAAGCAGTGCCTCCTTCATGTGAAAGTTGTAGGTTATAGGGAAAAACATCAGAGAAGGTTAACTGAGATTATGTTAGATTAGGCACGATACCAAAAACAAAGCTCAGAGTAGATTCATTTGTTCTTAGACTCAGCTGTGTCTGTCAATGTGTGAGGAGCTTTAAAATGTAGTTCACTTTAGGAACGCTACCAGAACAATGTAGATACACTCTGCATGCTTTCACTACTTCTTTTTTAAACAGCTCTGTGTGTATGTGTGTGTGTGTGTGTGTGTGTGTGCCTGTGTGTGTGCCTGTGTGTGTGCGTGCATTTGAAGATCCAGGGCTTGAGGTTGGATATTAAGTGACTACATTTAAATCCTACAATGTGAGGAAATACTAGGTAGCATCAAATGTGATACAAATTTATTTAGAACTGAATATTTCATTCATATACTAAGGAATGTTCTAATGATAATCTTTGTTTATTACATCAACACAACTTTGGCACTCTCTGGTGGCTGAAAGAGGATAAAAAGTGTATTTTCCAAGGGAAATCATGTTTTCAGTCCTGTAGAGTATCGCAGCAGGAGACACAGCAGTAAGATGTGATACTTGTGGACTAATTCATCCTCTGTCTCACCCTGTTGTATCTCCTTTTGCAGATGGAGGTGGAATGGAAAGCACTACCACCCCCACATCCCCACAACCTGCCTCAGGGAACGGAGTCATCGCTCAGCCCAAGAAGGTCCGAGGGGTTGGCTTTGGAGATATTTTCAGAGAAGGGTCAGTCAAACTAAAGGTCCGACTGCCAAGCCCCGAAACTGAGGATAAGAAAGAGAAAGTAAGTGTGACGCAAACTGGGAATATACTGTATATGGAATTTTAGAAACATTACTTGTTAGAGCTGAAAAGCATCATAGAAAAGCATCACGACGTCCCTTTATTGTTTTTGCATGTATCCTTGTACAACTGCCAAATGTTGCACTCTCACCAGTGTTACTGTTAAAACAAGCCACCTCTTTAGAGATACTGTTCAGTTTCTATTCACAAGGTCCTGATTCAGTTGGATTTAAATTCGATATTTAGTTTCAATACCAATTTTTGCTAGGATGTGAAAGAGATCCTCAGATAACCAATACTGTAAATTTTACAAGGAATAATATTTTTTAAAAAGAATAAATTCACAACAGGATTAAAATATAATATATATAATATTAAAATATTTTATAACTCAATGTTTCAGCAACAGTAATATAAAAACAGCAAAGTCACTAAACTTAATATCTCACTTTAAACAAATCTAAAATGTCAATAAAATACAAGATGGCGGCGCGTTTTGTTTGTTACGTTTGTTCTGTTGTCGACCAGCAACTCTACATACAGATGATCTTTTAAAGATCCAAGTGTTATGTGGCAGTATGTATATAATCCAGAGCCATAGATATACTCATATCCTGGGGGAGGCAGAAGCGTGGCTGACGTGCTAACCAGGCTAAAGAGAGCACCGCACAAACCAGCGATGCCCAGTATCTATCTAACTAATGCCAGATCGCTCGGCAACAAGGTGGGTGAGCTGGAAATGATCATCAGGGCGCAAAAGTCAGTTCTGGACTGCCCCCTAATGGGGATAACTGAGACCTGGCTCCACAGCAAGATCCCTGACGAGACTATCATGCTAGCAGGCTGCACAGCGCATTGGGCACACAGGAACAGGGACTCCGGCAAGAGCAGCGGAGGGGGGCTGTGTATATACTCTAATAACCACTGGTGTACGAATATGACCACCATCGACAAACACTGCTCAACAGACCTGGAGTATATTACAGTGAGATGCTGGCACTTCTACCTGCCCCGTGAATTTACAGATGTTATTGTTATGGCTGTATATCCCACGTAGTGCTAACACCAATTTAGCCCTGGACCTTGCTGTCTGTTACTAGCAAATCACAGACTGCAAACATAGATGGGATTTTCATAACCGCATAATGATATTAATAATAATGATAATACATTTTATTTGAAAAGCGCCTTTCAAAACACTCAAGGTCACTGTACAATAGTAATCAAAGTGATAAATAACAACAAGGAAAGACAACAACACAGGAAAAAAAACAAGAAATAAATGTACAGTGCAATCATAGAGAGTATGCTAATTTGAACAGGTGAGTTTTGAGTCTGGATTTAAACAGTGGAAGAAAGTCAATGTTGTGGATGTCAGGTGGGAGTCAGTTCCAGAGTTGTGCTATGGGAGGGGCGGAAACCAGACTGGATGGCGGACAGGTGACTAACATTACCGGTGTCGACCTTATGAGAGCCATTACATCCTTAAAGCACGACTTTCACACCGAAATTGGAAGATGAGTGTGAAAGAGCGAGCGCACCGTATAATCGGACAAATGTGCAATCCTTCTGCCCCCCAAAGCTTCATTGTGAGGTTCCTGAACCATCAAGACAAGGAACGTGTATGGAAAGCTTCGAGAGCAAAGGGTCAGGTGACCTACCGAAACAACAAGATCAGATTCCACCCGGACTTGTCGGCTGAGGTATATAAAGAACAACGTGACTACTACGAAGTTCGCCAAAAACTTAGGGAGAAGGGGCTTGACAAACACTGGGTTATCTTTCCAGGAAGACTGCTTGTGACCCAGGCAGACCGCACTCATACCTTTGATACGCCAGCTGCAGTTAACCATTTTTTGAGAAATGGCGTACAGTGTAAAAAGGCTGAATAGAAAATGAGCCTTGATACCTGGTTTGTTAATATCTTGGTAGGAAGGGGGAAAAATTAAAGGTGTACTGCTGTAATGTTTCCTTCAGGGGTGGAGTAGAAATAGTAAATAGTTAGGATTTGAGTGGGAGATATGAACGTGGGAGGTCTGTGTACATGGATGGAAACACAGATTTACGGCGAGACTGCAGAGACCGATATGCAGTCAAGGCCCAGACTCCAATGTGGATGATCTGCATAACCCTTTATTTCTTTGCAGCAAACGTTCCTTCTTTCTCAATCCAAACATGTTTTGGGATTTTGTTAATTATACTGCAAGGAAACCCCATATATTTATGGGATAACATAAATATACATGGAAATCTGGATTTTGAATATTCAAGTATATATAGTTATTGTGTTTATTCTAATATTTGGTTTTATGTCATGGGTTATGATTAAAGTTTCACCTCAGGGTCATTCATCTTTACAATCTTCTTGTAAACTACAAAACAAATGGTTAGATAAACAAAATGCAATTACCAAGGAAAGATATAAGAGTAATCAGTTATAACGTTAAGGGTCTACGTAGTCCCTTAAAGAAAAAAAAAAATCTTAATGAGCTTAAACATCTTAAATGTATGATAGCCTTTATACAAGAAAGCCACCTGTCAGACTCTGAACATAAAAAACGTAAGAGGTCATGGGCAAGTCAAATGTATTATTCATCCCATAGTTCAGGTAGGGGGTGTGGGGTAGCAATACTTGTACATAGCTCACTCCAGTTTTGTATGCATTCAAAATTTACTGATAAGGAAGGAAGAATTATATTAGTGAATGGTTCCATATGTAGGGTAACTATCTCTATGCTGAATATTTATGCCCCAAATGAAAATATTCCTACATTTATTAAAAAAGTGAATGAATTCAGTATGGAAAAGGCAAAGGGAATTCTATTAATTGGAGGAGATTTTAATTGTGTTTTCTCAAATAGACTGGATAAAAACCCACCCTCACGTGCTACACCTTCGGGTGCGAGTCAGGCTCTCAATCATGTGATTGAGGATGTAGGACTCATTGATGCATGGAGAACTTTACACCCAGGGGAGCGTGATTACACGTTTTACTCTAATCCACATTCCTCATACTCGATAATTGATCATTTCCTTGTTGCTAAAAATGAGTGTCATAGAGTTTTGGAGTGTAAAATCCACAATATAACTTTAAGTGACCACTCCCCAATTAGTCTGGTATGGGATTTGGGAAGATGTATTAGTCCAAGCCTTTGGCGGCTAAATGTCTCCCTTCTTAATGATAACATCTTTAAAGACTACATGAAGACAGAATTAGCCCAATACCTAGAACTCAATAACACAGAGGACATATCACCAGTGATCTTATGGGAGGCAGCTAAAGTAGTTTTGAGGGGAAAGATAATTGCATTTGCATCAGCTAAGAAGAGACTAAGAGAGAATAAACGTATAGAACTTGAAAAACAAATTAAGCAGTTGGAACAAAAACATAAAAGTCAGTTAACTACAAATGATTTGACCCAACTTGGCGAAGCCAAGAGGGCTCTTGGAAATTTACTCAGAAAATATTGAGAGAAATCTAAGATTCCTAAAACAACGCTATTATGACCATGGAAGTAAAGTTAGTAGACTCTTAGCATCTCAACTTAAAAAACAGACAAGTTTAACAATTATACAAAAGGTTAAAAATAGTGATTCAGAGAAGCCTTTTCTTTATAAACCAGATGAGATATTGGAAGCTTTTGCTACCTTTTACAAAAAACTGTATTCAAATACAGATACATGCACAGACCCTAAAAAATTAGGCATTTACTTAGAAAATATAAAATTGCCAAAGCTGTTTGATGAGACTTCACAAGCTATAGATGGTCCTATAACAAGAGAGGAAATAGTAGAGGCAATTAAAGGGTTGAAAAATAACAAAAGCCCGGGCTCAGACGGATATTGTAACAAATTTTACAAGGTTTTTGTAGATGACTTAAGTCTGATTTTAGAGATAGCCTACAGATACGCATTTGAAACTGGGGAACTCCCTCAAAATTGGAAGGAGACAATCATTTCAGTAATATTTATATATAAATATATATATACAAATGGGTATTTCTCTCATAAATTTGAGCTGGGAAAGGGCTGTAGGCAAGGAGACCCCCTCTCGCCTCTCCTATTTGCTCTGCGTATAGAACCCCTTACGCAATTAATAAGGAAAAGCTCAGATATAAGTGGTATTGAAGTGAACGGGGAGGAGCACAGGTTGTCATTATATGCAGATGGCATAATTATGTATATATCTGATCCTGCTAAATGTATTCCAAATTTAATGAGGTGTCTCGAGACATTTGGACTTTATTCAGGTTATAAAATAAATGTGTCCAAAACAGAAGCATTCCCTATGAATAATCTGATTTCTCCCCAGTTGAAAGATGTATTGTTATTTAAATGGCCTAGGGAAGGCATTAGGTATCTGGGAATAAATATATCTTCTGAATTAAATTTGTACGAAGCAAATTATACAAAATTAGTAGAAAAAATTCAAAAAGATATAAATCGCTGGAGTACACTCCCTCTCACATTAATAGGAAGAGTGGAGATTATTAGAATGAATTTACTTCCAAGATTTCTTTTTCAGACTCTACCAATTGCTCCTCCTAAATCTATGTTTATTCTTATAGACTGTCTCATATAACCATTTATATGGCAGGGTAAGAAGCCTCGGGTCAGATATAAAGTACCACAATTAGCAAAAGCCAAGGGGGGATTAGGAATGCCTAATTTGAAAAAGTACTGAATAGCATCACAATTACGAGCAATGACAGTGTGGTTGTCAGATGATATAAATACAAGATGGCTCAATATGGAAAAAAGTGATAGTATTAATATACCTCTTTCAGTAATTCCTTTTACTAGGATTAAATCAATCCGAGATTTTCCTGGAGAATGGTCAAAGACCACCTATGGGGCTTGGAAAGAGGTACAGCAAATGTTTAAGCTACCAAGAGATCTCTCCGTCTTAAGCTCAATAAGCTATATTAAAGACTTCTTGCCTCTTAAATTTGATGTAGGTTTTAGAAACTGGACACATATGAAGTTAAACTTTATACATCA